AAAAAAAAAAAAGGCCTGGCCTGTTCAAATGTTTGGTCTGACAGAAAAAACACAACTTGATTTCACTGTTAATAGGAGGATGAACAGGTCACTCCTCTGAGAGTGCTAAATTACTGGTCTTTTTCCAGTAAGTAATGAGATTAAACTCTTGACAGATCCTCTTCACAATTTAACACTACTTTTACATTATACAAGTTCTGCCCAGGGTTTAGGCTTTCACTTTCAGACAAGCTGAAATTTTATGGCAGTTTGCATTGGTTGGAGTATTTCACACAGGAAATATACACTGTGAAGAAACATGGGAACAAACAGCACTCCCTCTGAGCAATATAAAGGGTGAGGACCTACAGGAACCTCAAGATCAGTCCAGTTCTAAGCTGTAGAGAAGGTTAAGATAATTTACCTCTGTTTTCCCAAAACTCACTCTGCTATTCTTGCCAAAAATAGCCCTGCCCTGTAATATACTATCAAGTCTCTGAAAAAAAAAAGAATATTTTGACTTTCACATCTGGAGGAAGGAGGGAATTTTCAAAATGCTTTCTCCATAAGATAATTGCTTCTGAATTTAAATCACAAAGTGAACATTATAATAGGAATAAATATTTTTACAGGAAAATCCCCCCAAACCCATTTTCCCATTCAAATAGTTTTGTATAAGCTATCTTTCTGATTCTCAGTGGGCATTTTGATTAAATGGAAAAAAACAATGAAAACATCCCAAATGTCCCATCCCCTTGGTACATCCAGTTCAATAAAGGAAGAAGGGATTTTTTCTAACATTCTTTCATTATAGTGCCTAACTTTTGACACAATTTAGGGCAGACTTGAAACAGTGGAACAATTCTTAGAGCCCAAAAAGAAGGCAAGAAAAAAGATTTAATCTCTAAGGAAAAAAAGTAGCAAGCTATTTATATCTATACTTCATATCATGCTGATAAATGATATTATCAAGAAATGAGAAGTATTTTTCATAGAACATTAAATGTGAAAACAGCTCAGGAGGCACATTTTATCTTTTTCCATTAAAAATCTTTGTGGAGAAGACATAAAAAAGCCCCAGAAGCCTAAAGGGTATTTAAGGTCATTTAAATAAAGGAAGAGTGTAGTAGGAGATTTAGAGGCTGTGGGTCAGCTTGGTGGTCCTGTTGTGATTTCTAACCCTGCTGACAAGCCTCTTGTTCTGTAGTCAGAGTCAACATGTATTTTTAGTGTAATAGAAAAAGAACTGTAGAGCAAAACAATCCATGCTGAGGATCTGCTGTGTATGCTATGTAGGCTTAAGGGCTCACTTTGGGCCCACTGTAATCTGGACCAAAGGACTCTCTGGATTTACATCCATAAGGAATACAGGTTTAAAATCCAGCACTGCTCTGGACCACAAAGACATCATAAGTAGGGGCAATTGAGAGATCCACTTCAAATCTACACTCCTCATCTGATCTCAGACCCTTCCTGAGGGCACTATATATATGTCCTTCTCTGCATGCAGTAGTGATTCCACTGGAAAAATTGATTTGCCCTTTCCTATGTTTCTTCTTTCTTTGAAGAAAATTGGTTTGCCCTGCACTGACTTATCAGTGAATGCAGAACCTTGTATTAACGAGTACCTATGAGTTCAGCTAAGGCTTGTCAGACTTCTTCCACTACAAATATGACTGCTGGGGACAATTACTTCTCTTGGACTTGTGAAACACTACCAACTACAGTATTGTAATTTTTCACTCAGAAAGGTGGCTTGGACACCTTTATCTGTACTTGAGGATCGTTTTCATTTTAGGAACACTGTATGTCAAACCCAGATTGATAAACCCTATTGGACTCTTACAACCACTGGGAAAGAACCCTTTCTTTGGCCCTCTGTTACAGACTCTAAGGCAACTTTAAAGACTGGGTCTAGACTTGCAAGATCTCTTGAGGATCTAACATGATACAGAGACAGTCAGGGCTGGTTCAGCAGTGTCAGCTGCAAGACTTCTGCATCATCTAAGCATTACAGGTTTATGCTATGCCAGAGAGAAATTTGTCCTACCTTCCTCCAGATATTGCATCTACCTTACCTGTGTTACAATATCAAAGTTCAGTTTTCCTACACTGATGAAGAAAACATATATAGCACTAGATCTGACTGCTGGTTTTTGTGAAAAAGTGGTGTATCATGTATGTCAAATCTCCATTGTTTCATCTTAAAAAGGATGCTGGAAGAAAGTAGAACAATGAAGACTTCACTCTAACAAGAAGCTCAGCATTTCTGTCTATCTTTGTACTGTAATACGTGTTGTATAATTTTCACTTGTTTTCCAAGGCATACAGTAGTTTTATATATTCTCAGGTGCTCAGCTGGGAGCCATCAGCATTCAGACATGACTCATATACATGCTAGGAGAGCTTTAGGCCAAAGGGCTTACCAACACATATCCATACAAAGCATACAACATTTGAACAGTGTATCTTTTCGTTCTAGAGTTCAGCAGGGACTAAATACTTTGAAACTTTTTTTGGTAGGCTGCAGCATCCCTTAAGTCCCATTAAGACTTTCAATTTCCATATTTCTTTCCCCCATCTTACACCTATATGTGACCTATATAGCTATTTTCCTCAGTAATGATTACAAAAAGGCCCCTTAAATCTGTTCATATTCCTCAAAGATTTTTCCCTTTCCCTTTAAAAAAACCAAAAGAAAAGAACACATCTAAGAGAAAAAAAAGGTTTTGAGGTATTGGTTTTTCAATATTATTACATTAACAGCAACATGTCCTTCTGATCATTTTCTGTTATTTTTTCCTCTTTAACTTACAAAACTCATGTTTCACCTGTTCCTTTTTGCTAAAGACCATATGGTACATGGTCCCAAAATGAAACATGGGACTATCATGTCAGATTAGCCTATTATGGTGTAAGCAGGCAGAGTCCTTTGTACGTTGTATGAGAAGCTAAGGAAGAGCTATGATTAAAGATGAAACTGTGAGCAAGGTCAAACATATTCAGGGTGCCCTGAATTTTGTTGCTTTAATTATCTGTCTAAACATTCGAGGAGTGCAGCTCTCTATGGGCTGAATTTCTATAACAAAGAAAATCTCTGTCTCTCTCCTCAGCAGTGTTGCACAAAAGAATTTGCACCACAAAACCCTCTAGCTCCTTAAAAAGATAATTGCCTGTTCTAAACTCTATCAAAACTAGTAAACAAAAGAGGGGCAGGGCAGGGCCTTCAGCAATGTCCTGTGGTTTTCCACTCTTTTTTAATTACTGGCATGGTCCCTGCCAGTTCTGATCTGTTCCAGTCAGCTCTCTGCCAAAAATTCCTTAGGCACAACTTGCAGGTAACATCAGACCAGTCCAGTAAGTAGCCTAGATGTAGCTCCATTTCTGAGGTGGAAGAAAAGAGAGAAGTCCCTGGTCTCTTCACTTGCTGAGGAAACAACCCTAACATCCATGGGTGTCAGGGCAGTGGGAGGCAAAATTAAAGGACATATTGTTCCTTTCTTCACAAAAGACACAGGAAGAAATTAAGACCCAAATTTTCATCACGGGTCCACGACGCTTTGCCTGCTTTAGGACAGATTTTAAAAGGGACTATGTTCTGAATATTTCCTCCCCACTATGTTCTCTGAATCATCATTGTGCACCATCAGGTGATAATTCTTCATTGGAAGGGAATGTGTCTCATAGCTGACACCCAATGCTTCTCATGGAGTTGTAGATAAATCCCACCCACACTCCTTCCCCTTAAAGGACAAATACAGAGGAAACTTTTCCAGCATTTTCAGAAGCATTGCAGTCTTAGATTTGTATAGATGTTTCACTGAGGGTGCATGAAATCAAAACTTTTGAATTTGAGGTATTTTATATTTCAGCATTATAATATTAGAAAGGGAAACCAGTTCTCATGGGAAAGATTAGACACAATTTGATGGTAGAGATAAAGATTTTAAATAAAATTCCATTTATTACATCTTTATAATAGCATGACTAAATACTGTATTAATAACTCTGTGTTTCCTTACCTCTCCCACAACTTCCAGCCTGCTGGCATCATCAGAAGTACTGGTCAAGTTACCATGGTGAAGCAGGGAATCATCATCTTTGGAAGGACTGTTCACACCTTCTAACTCATCAAAAAAAATGTTGACATCCTTAGCTACTAAAAAACAAAATAAAAAAATACATTCAAATCACCACTGAACCAAATGAAGACAGCAAGCATAATCCATCAATAATTTCACTTTTTAGCTCTGGTATAAGTATATACCATTTAATTTTAAAATCTGATGAACATTGTTGGAATGCTTTCTTCATCAATGAGCCACATAAAGATTTCGGACATCACAACACCCCTCTGATGAAAAATAAACAATCGGCTGTCACAGTAAAACAAGTGTTATCTATCTTCTCAGCTTCTTTTGGGGCAAATGGCTTAAATGTCAACCTTCTGGATTAGTATTGTCTATGAAAGTTTCTTAGGAGGCAGAATTTTAACCTACTATACAAAGTGTGAAGTTTGAAGTTGTACAGACCTGTGAGGCAGCCAGAGGCAGAAGGCCTTAAATAAATACTGTTTCTTGAAAGGCATGGAGTAAACAAGCCTGAGCAGATATTCCTCTTTTCACAGTTTGGCATGTTTTGATGTGTATAAATCTGACACTTTCAGATCCACTTACCACACAGCCCTCACTCTTGCATGAAGCAATCGCTTACATCTACAGATTTAAGTTGTGGTAAACCAATCCTGATATAAATATTAAGCTCTGGAGTGACTGCCAGATGCAAGGAGCAGGGTAGGCAGGTTCACTCTACACTCCATGCACTACAGGTCTGATGAAGAGATGTGTGCCAGGAGAAGAAAAATGCCTTAGCTGAGGATCATGCTTCAGCTGTGGATGGACTTCAGCTCTCCAATCTCATGCCTAATCAGCAAAATACAAAATTATGAAAGTAAAATTATAACTTTTAGAAGGGACCCCCAAAGGTCCTAGATACCGAGGCTCTTCCACTGACTACAGTGGTAGCAAATATCTAATAGTCTTGATAGAAATTAGTCCAACCCCCTACCCCTACTCACATTTCTTGCAAGCTTGACTGACTTTTGGAATAATTCTTCTTTTGTGCAATAAACTCCTGTTGCTTTTGCTTGTCCTCAGCTCCCCTAATTTAGTGACAGGCAATTGTAATTCCTATTGGTGAGAATCTATAGTAAGAGCCAAAACGCTCTAATTGCTGGCAGCAACTTAGTTCTATTTCTAAATACTGGCTGCAGGTGTAAAAATCCATTCCCCCACTGTGGAGAGACTGGGTAGCTGCCAGAAATTAACAGCTACTAACTGTTCCCAGTGATCATGAGCATTTTGTGATCTCCTTTTCACCTTTCCCTTATTCAGGGGTCATAGCCCAGTTTCAGAACCCTTTTAAAAAATCGTTGATGATATTAAATCCTCAGTCTCTGCAAGTGGCCTATTTTTCATTCTCACAAGCAGGAAAGCCTTATCCATAATATTCATCCTTAAAACAGACATATGTTGCAATTTATATATACTACTCTTTCCCTATCAGTCATAAGAACAGGGAAAAGCTTCCTCCCTTTTGGTACGTCTTTTAGAACATCTAAAGTTTATTATTGCATCTGTAGGTAATAAAAAAGAAAACCCTTTCAAAATATTCAAGAATCCTTCATCTTCCTTTTCATGAATAAAATAGGAACAAGGTTAATGAAAAACCTTGTAATTTTACCTACAAGAGTTTTGTTTGGAAAATGACTAAAAGTTTCATAAACAACAGAGAAATTCTCATATCCAGATTAATCTGCTTTAAAAATAGGCTAATTTGCTAAGCTAAGCAGCATAGTTTGTAAGAGAGTTTCTGAGTTTCTGGTGTTTAGTTATATCTGATGAGAGCCTGCAGCTCCTCAGTGTCACTGTGGCTGCTTCCAACTTGTCCTAGGGGAAACCAAAGAGGCTTTAGGAGACTTACAAGGCAACAAAGAGATTCCAATTTGTAGCACGTGCACCAGTAATATTCCATTTTTTTTCCCACCTTCCTTCATTTAAATCCACAAAAATAATACTAGAGATGCTTATAAAAGAGGTGAACTGCCATGACAATGCACAGCACAGACTAACCTCATGTCCTTCACTGTCCCTATCTTTCAAATGTCACAACTAGAAACATTCCACCCTATCAGATAATAATGTCGATGTAGATCATGACCAGATTTTGCATGAATGAGAGAAGAATAAATCTCAATATTCATCAGAAAGAGCAACTGAAAATATTTTGAAATTACTTTAATTTCACTGAATTAAAATCCATCAGTGCCTCCATGACAGTGGCACCTAAATGTGTATATGGTTAAAACCTCAATATAATCTAAAAACAGCTGTGGAAAAAACCCAAAAATAATTAAATAGGGAAGCTTTCTGAAGATTATTTAGGGCACATTTATCTGTTGCAGGCATCATCATTGAAAGCTGTAAAAATGAAAGTTTTGCCTGTTCACTATACTCGAGGGAATTGAAACTATCTTTGTTCTGACTGCTTTGGTATAAAAGATGAGGCCTCAGGGATATTAGGATTGCTGCTTCTTGAAGTGCTGGTAATGCTTTAGGTTGCAAAATTAATAGTTTTTAAGTGGATGTTTTGAGATACAGAGTTTGGTGTGCAAGACAGTGAATGTGTCAGTAGCCTTAAAACGCAGAATTACAGGATTATCCTGAGGACTTGTGAGGAGCCAAAAAATCTTATTTTAAGATCATTTTAAAATACAATCCATCTCAGCAGTGAAGAAGTTGTGGAAGCAATTCTCATCTGGTTAGCAAAATTAGCTACCAGGACTTGTCCAGATTGTTTGCAGTGGAAAATTGTTTATATCAGAAATACACAGAAAATTGGCATGTTGGTTGATCACCACAGAAAATATGGACCCCCAATATTTGCTGAGCTAATTTTTCTACCCCAAGTCTCCTTATATTCTTAAAAATAAATTAATAAAATATTGTTACACAAAATCAAATAGATAATAGATAGCAGCTCCTGTTTGGTTGACATTAGTAATGGTGATGCTTCCACTATAACTCTCCTGCTGCTGGTAGGTAGCTCAGCCCTTCCACTCCAATGGACTGAACACCTACATGGCCAAATGTTGCTAAAAAGATAATCAGGGCTCCATCTTTCTTGTCCCCTTCAGATCCTGACATACATGTACCCACAAATGCCCTTAACAGAATGATATATAATGGCTTTATTATATACACAAATGTCATTTGGGAGACAGACTGGTGCTACTGTACAGTCATGTATTTTTCAGCAGTGAAATTTAACAGGAATACAGAGCAGCACATGCATTGCTACAGGAGATATTAAGAATTCTCCCTCTGGTTTTAGATCAGCTTAAATATGCAAACTCTTTTCTCCCCCTCATGTTCTATTTTGCAGAAAAAAAAAATCAAAATTACTTGATAATTCAGAATCTCTTGAAGAATAAAAGGAAAAAAAGTGAGTATACAAAGAGTTTTTATCTCAAATACAGTAAAACTACATCTTCTGAAAACTGGATGCTGATAAATTCTGAGCAGGAATCTGCACACAATCTCAGTGGGTCCACAAGTCACTTCAGATCAAGATGCTGATGTAAGGTGGGACCCAAAAACAAGATAACTCCTTTCACTTTCTGAAGGTGGATGCTGAAACTGAAGTGCCTAAAAATAAGAACTTTCATTTAAAAATGGGACCTGACTATGTTATTGTGTGAGAAGATGGAAACATGCTCAGAGATTATGCTTCTGTTCATTTTCATTTTATTAGCAGAAGTTCCACCAAGCCATACTCTCACTTTGGATAATGCTAGCTGAAGATCAATATTCCAAGCTTATCTTAGCAAGAAAAAATTATTTGGTTTCTAAAAGCATCATTAGCCTGTTTCAAATTATCATTCAATGCTAACAACTGCGAATAAAAGTAACATGGACTGTTCAGATCAACTATCCTAGAAGGAATATTTAGACATGTTTATCCCAATTAGATGATATTTGCAACAGACTTCAGGTGACAACACCCCCCTGGACACAACAACAAGCTTTTGAAAGTGGGTAGTTCAGAATTCCTTCTGTCTTTGATGAAGGAAATGTAGCTAAAGGACATAGAGGTTTACTTCCCAACAGCACCTATGTCTGGTCTAGATAAAGCAAAAACACTCTCTCCAAAGCTGTAAGAGCTGCATCCTTCTTAAATGGCTTGTGAATAATCCATAAATCAAAATGTTAATATTGAAACACTCCCAGATTAAATTGCTTATCCACGTTTAGCCATCTTGTTTATTCACCTCTGAAAGACTCTACAGTGCTTTTTCAGGCTCTCCAGTCTGCATCCCGACTGCCCCCAGGCCTCTATCTGGGCTGTGCTGGTGTGGAGAAGATTTCTGATATTAAGATTTCTGATGGGAAAAGCTTTTTAAAACAGAAAACATGGAATTCATCCAAAACCTGTAGCTTAAGTAATAAGGTGATTCCATTTCAAATTATTACCCCCATCATCTAACCTGAGCATTTTCCTTCCACCCCCAAATTAGTACTACCACTAAACAGCCTGATTCTACCACTGTGTGGTTCCTTATTCATGTGGCAAAAATCAGGCAGAGTCTGAGGTTTTACACATTCTTATTCATCCTTTATCACTCTAAAATATAAGCTGCTGTTTCTCACTCTAGGAAATTGCTATACCAAACATCCAGTTTAAACTCAAACTAGAAAGTAAGGAAGCCAGGAAGCCATGGCTTGCATTTTGACTCTCAGCCTGCATAAGAATTTCAAACTATTATGAAATATTCTCACTGAAATTCAGATTTTATTGGATTCCAGAATAACATCAGTTTTGGGTAGGGGGGGTGTCTTCCAGAGTTATTAACAAGAGTAGCAGTACTTCTAGCACAAGAGTTGAGATTATTCTGCAGTTGGACTTAAGAAGAGTGAGCCAATTAATTCTTAGTACATATCTCATTATATATAAAAAGATATAATTTTGTGCAGTATCTAAGACACATGGACCTTCAATTGTGACAGCCTCATGACTGTCAAAAAATACGGTCTGCAAAAATGTGAATACAGCCCAAAACTTTGGAAGAACTGGAACTTCAAATCCAGTCTTCAAACCCCAACTGCAGCATTTTAATAATATTATTAGTTCACACAGTTACTGAGGAGTACAAAGCATTGAATAAACTATCAGGAATCTTACTATTTCTGATTATGTCTGCATAGAAAAGATATACTGTTGAAATCCTTTGAGACACAGCAATTCAAATCTTACTATGACTTCTCTGATAGCAAAAGATTCCTATTAGCCTTCATTAATCCACTGAACTTCCTAAGAGAATTTAATAATAGATACTTATCATTCGATTCATCACTTTGTGTGTGCCTTCAGTTATAATTCCAATACATCTCAATTGAATCTTCTACCGTAAACACAATTTTGCATCCAAGGAAGAACTTACTTTCTTGTATTGCATTAAGAATTTCTGAAAAGTCCACATCTGTCTTCTGTATGTCTGGTTTTATCCATATTTGCGTTTCCAGCTGGTTAACCTGCAAATCCTCTCTTCCTTCTGAAGAAATTGAAGAGATTGATGGGGTTTGTGACAGTGCAGTAGAAAATCCAGCCAAGGGGCTTCAGGTGAGGAAACATGCACATTGAATGAAGGTATTTCCATTTTTCCTCCTTAGCAGAACCCAATTTTCTTCAAACCAAGGAGCTTCAGATAGAACATGGGCTGATTTAAAGCTAAATAGAATGAAACAACAACATTCTCTGCTATCAGAAATGATGCAGAGTCACCACTGGCAAGTTCCTCGTTCAGGTGACCATATACTGTCATGCCATGAGCATCACCTCACTATACTATCTACAAAACCAGCTCCCAAATGTGAAAACAATCAAGAGATGTTACAAATGACACAGGAACAAACAGACTAAAATAAAACATACACACACAAAGTTGCAAGATAGAAAACAACCATTAGGACAAAAAAAAACATGGACAGTGTTTCAGACACAGTGCACCATAAGTTCTCATATGCCAACTGATGGCTGACACAGTCGAGGAAGGAGTCCAGCACTGGAGTCCATTTCAAATGGATTCACACTGGTATGCAATGGTTGCGGTTTAAAAGCATTGCATAATAAAAACTTACTCTGGCAGGTCGCAGTTTCAAACCTATTTACAAACAAAAATGGATACAATATTTTCCCATTTCAATGCTCTTTCAACATGAGCAAAGAGAGCAGAAAGTTTTGAAAACAGAGAAAGGTGGCTGCATATCGAGAGCAGACAGAAAATGGCCAAACAGGCACAAGATGCTAGCTACAGGATATTTGGATACAGACAAAGAGGGAACTACTGGGAATACCTCTGGTTTTTGAAGATTAGCTGGAAAACCTTTCACAAAGGCATCTGATAGACATTATGCTCTTGAGGACCTAAAGCATAGAGTTAGCAGAGACTTTCAGTGGAGAGACAGATATCTGAGAAAGGAGTTCATGACAAAAAGGCCGAGTTGGAAGAACAAACCTTCGGGTCATTTAGATTACTGTGCTTCACTAGAAGCTATCACTCATGCTTTAGAAAGAAGCATTTTCCTTTCATCTGCAGTCTGCCTATAGCAAGCTGCTCTTATTGTGAATTCTGGGCTAGCCCATTGTATTTTCCCCTTCTCCTTGCCAAATTACTATCTCACTACTGCCTTAATGGGAGTGACAAATAATATTCCTAAGCACAAAATTATTCAAAAGTGTTTTAAATGCCCTTCTTCACTTTTTGGAAGTACAGATCCCAAAATGGGTATACTTTGACCAGCTTCATCTTCTATTATTTTTCAGTATTAAAATATAAATTCAAATTGTCTTGTGCTTGCTTCAGTGTATTATTTTGTTCCACAGAAAAGATTTGCTGTTAACATCAGAGACAACTCCCCTTGTAGATTCCTGTAAAGCAATCTGTCATAGCCGCAGCAGGAGTCAGCATTTAATGATGTAGAACAAAGAGAATTTCTTAAGTGAGACAACTGATTATTCATACAATAGCAGCCTAAGGAAATCTGCAGATCGCCTCAGAGATGATAGGCTAAGACTTGCCCAAAAGAGATTTCTAATGCCCAATAAAAAATAAGCCAACTGCTGAAAAATACATACAAACATTATGATGGAAATAGAAAATTAATCAATGGATAGCAATTCAGGTAAGCAGCTTTGCAAATTATATAATTCACTTTCTTCTTAAATACTCAGCTACCACCTTTAACATAAACCATTTCATACTTGCATCCTCACATCCAACAGCCTTTGTTCTGTATTTAAACCCTAGTTAAAGCAAATTAAAGACAATGTGGACAAATATAAAATACCCTTAGTTCCCTCAAGCCCTCCATCCTCGTTACATTTAAGTTGCTGTTCCTCAGAAGAGATGAAGGTAGCAGATCCATGCAGCATCTCCAGAAGATCTGAAGTAATTGGGCCAGGGATAAAGGAAGTGGCAGTCAGCTGTGGAGGTCCCAAAGTGCTGATATCTGATGGACTATCTAACCATAGACCTGTTAATAAAATTATACTCTTGGAGAATGTACATAGCTGACTTCAAAGCCCCTCTTTAAATAACAAAAACCAAAATGCTTAGGAAGTGGTCAGAAAATGACCATCCTAAATCTGACTGTATTTCAGACGATGAAGTCAAGACAATTTTACTTTTTGAATTTCCTCTCCTGTATTTGATCCTCTTGCAGTATAGGGACCTTTCAGCAATCCACAGAAATGACAGTGTTCTATGCTTGTCTGATTCACAGTAACCTTAATATCTGGCCTCACTGCACAAGTCATCCAGCACCCAGTCTGACTTCAGACTGTAGGGGTAATATTCTACCAAACATTTGTGATAAAACACATAGCTAATTACAAACTTGCCTTCACCAACACAAGGGGAAAAAAAAAAATCTATCTACCAACAACATAGCTTTTAGATTAGGGGTTGCAGGAATGTTTTCTTCTCCCTTGACCTTAATGATGTCAATAAAGACTTGAATTAGGGCACTTGGGCTTCCATCATTTTCCCTCTCTGTCAGCAAGTACTTTTCAGGAGGGACTAGCGCATTTTTTTAGCTGAGAGAAACATCACCTATGTGATGGGCTGTGGACTGCCCAAATTAATGATTTCTAACTTGTTGTCAGACAGATTTTAAACTAGTAGCTCTTTGGAAATAGCCACAGTGACCTCATCCATATTCCAGATATTTATTTTCTTTCCCTTACCACAGATCTCCAATACTGCATGCAAAGTATCTGATGTTAGTGTTGCTATTGATGGATCATTCACCTGTCTAGTATTTCCTTCTTTCTTTAGATTTATGCTTTATCCATGACATATCCCACTGAGTAAAATCTAAGCAGTATTGTCTGAGAGGATGGTAAAGACTTTCTTTTCACAGAAGTATAAAAATAAACACATATAAACACGTATAAAAATGAATTAAATATTAGATTTTAAAATGTTTATAATTTTTTGTAAAGATCAGTCTCAAATTTTTCTCAGCTCATTGAGACTTCCTAGTTAAAATGAAATAATATTTTAAATTAGGTTATGGCACTCCCTCTGATTTACTCATTGATGCATAAAGTTTTGCATAAAATAACATACTTTTTTCTTTATTTGTCTAAAAAGGATATGGGGTGTGTGGTGAGTTCTCCTTTCATTTTGATGCTTGTTTCCAGTTTTGGGCTCCTTTTGAAGGTGGTAGTGGGGGTAAGGCCAGGAAAACTCATGTGCTAATTTTCTGTTTCTGAGAACTCGCTGGCATACTTTTACATTTAATGCAGTGCAGCATCAGAGTAAGACCAGCAGTTTGCCACATCTACAGATGCACATGTAGCGACAGAATGGAATATCTTAAAGTCTCAGTTTTTCACAGTACAAGGTACTTACTTTTACCAATGTATGTCACAGGATTTGCCCCATCTAGATACAAACATCCACAGTTTTGGAAAAATTTTAAGTAACTTTTAATGAATACACATTGAGAGACATTTGGAGACTTCTGATTTGAGACAAAGTACTCCATAATAATAGCATTAATACGCAATGTGTTTCCAAGACTAAAAAGACTGGGTACACTGTGGAATTACTTACAGACCTTTGAAAAACTTCTGACCTTGTAGATTGCCATAGATGTCTATAAATACTTAAGAATTTCCATATAACTTTTGATATTCTTAATTGGTTTATTAACTACCTTAAAACAATACTTTATCGTCTATCACTATTTGGTATACCTAAACACACCTTCTTCTAGTATGCAGACAACACCATTTATGTTAAATGGTTTTCCCATTGTTTATGAATAAAATAATTATGATAAATAGAATTATTCAGTTACAAACTGGAGTGGAAGAATGGGACCAATATTTATAAAATATTTTGTAAAAACATTCCTTCTCAAAATTTCCATTTGTCTTTGAGAGAATCTTACAAACAGCAGGAATCATGCCCTGCACCATACTGGTGCAGTTGGCCTTTCTTAGATAGCCTTGCAACTTACTATAATTACTAAAACCTGCAAAGGAGAAATAGAACACTTTGACATTAAAATGCATGGAGCAGTATTGCGCTGTTCACCAAAGATGCCTACCCAAAAGAGATTATTTTCAGCAACTGGCACTAAGCAGTCGCCCTCACAAGGAGTAGGAGAGTATTGGAATAGCAAGGGTCATAATTTCCAGGCATTCTGGCAACACAAAAGGTGCAGTTGAAAAAATGTGCAGTTTTGATGAACCTAAAAAATCTTCCATCAGTCTAATAAATCCTGAATTATTTTTCTGTGTTTGGTGCATTCCTAAAGCAAAGTCTAAATAAAGTACCAAACTCCAGTGCCATCTCTCTTTTTCTATTTTAACCACCCTGAATGTTACCAGTAATGAAGAATATCTCAAAAAGTCAGATGCTTTGTGCTCTATTGGACCTCTAAAGCATAAAATAGTACAGAATTGCACTCCCAATGACAGGAGCAGCAAATATTGTGTCTCTGTGAAGATTCCCAACATGCAGAGGACACATTTGCTTTCCTGAGATATCCACCCATACATGGCGCAGGAACAGTCAGTGGTCTGTATGACCCAAAGGAAGTTCTCAGAAACAAAAGACAGATTAGAAATTACATCACTTTCTTGCTTTGCTGCTTCCCTTATACCTGATCTAAGTTGTGATGAGTTTTATGCAGCTCTTTAGGGCTTTTGAGCTTTCTCGATACCACACTACATTGGTTGGAATTTCTGGTGGGTCCATTAGAACCCTAGAAGCACTTACCTGTAGAATGTCTACTCATCCAAGGAAACAAAACTGATTTGTTTTGTTTTGGTTTAGATTGATTGGTTTTGGGTTGCTTTTGAATTTGTTTGTTTGGTTTGGTTTTTTGGTGGGTTTTTTGTTTGTTTGCTTTTGTTTGCTTGCTTTTTTGTTTTTTTTTAATTGTACAGGAAGGTCTGGTTGAATTTTGAGGTATCAGAATGAACCAGCAGACTTGGTCTTAGGAAAGAGGTCTTGCCATCTGTTGGAATGATACAAAT